GCCGTCGGCAGGGCGCTGAACGGGGACTCGGCCGCCTCCCCCGCCCGGAGCGTCGGCCCGTCCAACACAGCCGCCCTTCCCTTGCAGCCCTCCCCCGCCCCCAGCCATGTCACCCCCGCCGTTCCTGCCACCGCAGTCACTTCCCCGGCGTCGTCCACCTCGACGCCGTCCTCCGTGGCCACAGTCGTGCACAAGAGGCTGCTCAGCCTGACCCCGGCGGGGACGCCGGACGCGTCCCACAACGCTCACAGCAACGGCGCCACCGTCACCCCCACCTCTCCGGCGCCGCTGGTGGTGAGTACCCACTTCACAGCTTGACGAGTGTCTTGTTCAGCACAACTCAGGGGCACTTCACTCCAAAATCAAATTTAATGTGTACACTGCAAAATTTCATTTAAAAAATCAGATTTTTTTCAGAAAAATAAAATTGTCAGAAAATAAGAAAAATTCCGTAAAAATAGAAAAATCAAGGCGTAAACTTGAATCTTCATTACCCCTGTACCCCTGAGCGCGACCGCTACTCAACTCACGAGCCATCTCGTCGCCCCCAGGTGCGGACGGACGCGGAGGACCGCAGCACGGACGTGAGCTTCGACGAGGACTTCCCGCTCACCGCCACCCACGGCCCCGTGCTGCCCGACCGGCTGCGCCTGCGGTCGAGGACGCCGTCGTCCGACAGCCCCTGCCGGTCGGACGCCGACTCGCCCGTCGAGGAGCACCACCAGCTCCACTACCACCGCGGCTCGCTGCCCGGGTCGCCCGCGTCGTCGCCGTCCCCGGGGTCGCCGCAGCATAGGAGGGCTTCACACCAGGTAAGTCAGTTATTTGCCGAAAAAAAAACACAGCATAGAAAGCAAAAAAATAAAATAAATTTGAAAAGAGAATCGGCAACAAAAACATTAGAAACTAAACGGTGTTTGGTGCATTAGGTGTCGCCGGCCACCTCGCCGCTGCGGCAGTGCGCCTCGGCCGGCTGCAGCCCGCGGCTGTACCTGCACTCGCGCTCGCTGGCCGGCTCGCTGCCCGGGTCGAGCTCGACGGGCGCCCTGGAGCCGCAGCCGCGCCCCATCTACCCCAACTTCCCCTTCTCGCCGTACGGGTCGCCGCTGTCGTCGCCGCGCTCTGGGCGCCGGAGGCCGCCGCTGCGCGAGTCCCGGCGCGTCTCCATCGACAAGTCGGGCAGCTTCTTGCAGCTCAACCAGTACCGCCTCATGGACTCCATCGGCCAGGTGAGCTTGTGATTGTGATGGAGCGGCCTGCCTGCGGGGCGCTGCCGCCGGGGATACGACGTGATGCATCACTTTTGGCCCCCGTGTATATACGCAGCGTCGGTCTGCCTGCGCGGCCCGCTCTCGCCCAGGGGGCGGGCTGACCCCCGCCCCGCCATGCCGGAAGTGGAAACCGACCGGGGCCGTGTATGCCCAGCAAACAGACTAGACTCACCAAAATGTGTTGACGAAGCAGCGGAAACGAACAAACAAACAAACTTTTTAAGTTTTTCATTAACCAAATTAAACCATTGAAATTTCCGAAATTACTAGGTAATGATTTTGAGGTGCTTCTTTAGTACTCCTAAATTTCAAATCCCGTCCTATTTGTCTTCACGAGGAAGAGGTTGCGCGAATTAAATATCCGAAGACCCCGAGCAAACGCCCGCCGGCCAGAGGACACGCGTGCAGGCCAGCTCCCCTACCGATCATTATTGGTTGCCTGCGCAGCGAAGCGGAGCTGACAACCCCGTTTGGCGGAATGGCGCGGGCATGCTTCGTTGTGCGGTGCTACAGGATTGTTTGTCGAGCCCACGGCGGCGGAGCAGCAGGCGTGCCCTTTCGGTCTACTCCTAGAGAATTATTGCGAGAGAGAGAGAGAGAGAGAGTGGGTCGATGATCGCTGTACGGTGTGCTCTGCGGTGTGCTTATCAAGCGGGCGCCAGTGCCTCGCCAGTGCCGCGGGGCTCCCGCCTGTCACAGCGGCAGCGCGTGCACTTGAAGGCTGCTTCGCTCGGGGGAGGAACACAGCGAGCAGGAGGAATAATTCTGGTAACAAGTATTCCCTGCTCCTTCTGTGATACACCCTGCTGCTGTGTGCGAGGTAACCGCTTGAGCCCGCGATCGAGAGAGAGAGAGAGAGAGAGAGAGAGAGAGAGAGAGAGAGAGAGAGAGAGAGAGAGAG